CTGCCTCATTACACAGGCTCTCCGACATTTGCCTGTGATTTAAAGAGCTGTTTCCTTAAAAATGAATGCTTATTGCTTATTTTCCCTAGTGTTTCCATAGGGCGTGTGTGCATGTTTGTGAGCTGGAGATTGAACCCAGGGATTCATACGTGCTAGGCTAGCACACTACCATTCTTCCATTCAGTTGTATAACTTAGCCATTTTTTTTTCCCAGTTTTTAGTTTGAAAAGGTATCTGTTAAGTCTGTGAAGCTGAAGTAGGCCTTGGACTCCCGAGTAACCGGAATTACAGGCTTGTGTCACCAAGCCTGGATTTTTAATGAGATGGGCCCCACATTCTCCCGCATTTGATTTGAACTAAGAAGAGCACACACCAGATTGTATATAATGAGTCCACACTGAGGCCTTGACACAGCCCATAACATGTAGGAATGGCCAAAATCCATGAAGTCTCTTTAGCCTGGATAGTTAGCTGGTGACTGGTGAAAATTTAGACCTTGGTGCTCTGGAAGGAAAGCAGCTGAAGTAGTAGAATGTTCCACCTTCCCTGCAACTGACTAGAGATCATCCAAGGCCTGTTTCTGTACAGCCCTCACCTGAGGATTACTTGGTTCAGTTTATATTTTAAAGGACTTTCAAATACACATACAAGGAATCGGCAACAGGATATCTGTGTCCCTAAGGTTTAAGATATTTACCATCTAACCCTACATAGGGTAGGGTGGTGGGAATTGCCAAGCCTTGCAGTCGACCAGAGGTTCACTAGATATGGGCCTATGCCAGCTTTCTGATGCTTGGATCGCCTCCAAAATTCACGATCTAGGTACGGAACCTGTGTTGCCAGCCCTGAGTGGTTCTGATGCACTCTGCAACGTGAGACTTGTTCTGTTATAGATCGCCTTTCACTCAGTCTTCCAGCTAGCTTGACAGATATGGAGAGATTCCGAGTAGATGTGGCCAACTGGGTTTTGTTGATATTATTGTTGTTTTGTTTCCCAATGACTTCCATTCTCAACACATCTATAGTTTGTACTTCTCTCCCAAACCCCTGTCCAGACTTTCATCCGACCTAAAGATACGTGGAGGAATCTACAGCCTGTGTATGAAAACAAGAGATTTGAGGGCTCCTTAAAATGGCTCAGTGGCTAAAGGTGCAGACCACCAACTCTGACTGAGTTCAATTCCTAGAACACATACGGTAGGGGAGAACTGGCTCCCTCCAGAAAGTTGTCCTCTGACCACCACACGTGCACGCTGTAGATAATAGAAAGAAATTGATGAATGATATAATGAAGTTTAAAAGAAAACTGTGGATTTTAGTGTACTAAGTATAGTTAGTCATGTCCCTCAACTGTGTGATCCAAAGTCATAGAATGCTGACTGGTCACTTCCTTCCCTGTTCCCATTCTCTTCCTTCTGTCTGCCTTTATGTCCCTCTTCTCTCTTGCTGTCTTCTACTCTCTCCCGCCTGCCTCCCTTGGCCCTTTCCCTATTTCCTTTTGTTCTGTATCCCTGCTTCTACTCTTCTCCTGCCTCCCTCTGCTAACCTTTGCCTCTTCCCCTCTCCAGCTGTCTCTTCTCATTTTTTCCCCCTTATCTGATTTCATGTCTGCTTGTCCAGGGTTAAGGTTAAGACAGCAGCAGCAGCATTTCCTGTGTAAATACATTCCTGTTACTAAGCACGTTACCTGGAACTTCTGCCTGCAGAGATTGGTATCTATGAACCCTAGCAAAGGAAGAGGGCTTTACATTGCCGGTAGTGGCCAGCGTCTTGATGGCAGCGCTACCAAGAGTAATAACGTTAGCGATAACGTTTCTCTGTTTATGCCACTTGGGAATACTTTTCTACCAAAGTCCTTTTCAGTATAGTCTGGGACCCTAGTGGGTGCCTAAGACTTTTCCAGAGCTTCTGAGGTCAAACGGTTTTTAATCACAGTCCTAAGATATAATTTTGCTTTTTCCATTTGTACTGATTATACAAAGCAATACCAGGGAAAACGGCTGACTCTGTGACTGGAGCCAAGGAAAGTAGTCATCGTAGTGCTTATGATGTTCATGAAAGGAGAGAGAATAGTCGGATTTATTTTAGAAGATCTCTAATGATACCGCTAATTTTATTAAACCTTGATCTTTGAAGACACGTGCTTTTAATGCCTTGTGTGAGAAGATGGGGGTGTGCCCATAGAACATTTCTCCATGGTAAGTGTGTTTGACTTGGGAGCTTACTTAGTCCCCTTGTCACTGAGCACCATTTTTATCTGGAAGACGAGCTGCAAAGGAAACTGTGCCTATGCTAACTTGGACTGTGTGGCAGACATTTTCCTTCAAGTGAATGAAGGCAGCTGTAATATTAAGGAAAATATCCTACTGGTACAATGGCGAAACAGTGAGCCCTCCTTAATGAGACAGAGGCTGTGTTAACTCTTTTAAAGCCGCCTTATGCTCTCAAATGTCATTTACTGTTCAAGGAAAATGTGCTTGCGATGCTAAGGAGTCTTCAAATTACAGAGCTAAGACTGTTTCCTAAAGTTTACGTAGTGGGGAACCACTTATTTTCTAGATTAGAAAAATCGAGCCCATGCATTAAAATCTTCACCCCAGACGACTTTCCACAAATGTGCGATTTATGGTCTCATACTGTGTAGTGTTTTACATTTTCACACACTTTCATCCATTCTTTCTCATCTGACCCTCATGCAGGCCTCTGAGTGTCTAAAACAGTTTGAAGATGAGAAAGTGGAGACTCAAAGAGGTTAATTGTCTTAATGCACTGTACCCTTTCCTGCCCTTCCATCTGTTATCTCAAGGCCCTGAACTAAAGGCTGTACGAGTGGAGAGGAGGTAGGCGGTGTACAACCTAGCAACTAAATACTTGTGAAAGAAAAGGAGATACAGAAACCAGGGAATTTTCCAGATCTCTTTGCTTTAGCATTTAAGAGGGAATGGATGGTTGAAGAAGTAAAAATAAAGACAGACTAGAGTCTGTCAAAAAATGTGTCATCTGCTTGGGAGAATTCGTTTTGTTTGTTTGTTTTTTGAGGCCGTGTTTCTCTGAGGAATAGCCCTAGCTGGAACTAGCTCTGTGAACTAGGCTGGCCTTGAACTCAAGGAGATCCACCTGCCTTTGCCTCCCTGGGATTAAAGGCGTGTGCCAGCTGGGGAATTCTCAAGGCAGAAAGACTGGGACTTTACTATTTACTTGGGAGAGGTGGTGTGCGCACCAGTGGTCTCTGATTCAAGAGAAATACGAATGAATGCCTTAGGAAAAGCTTAAATGAAGACCTGTTGCTGCAGCTCACCCAAGAATGACTTTTGGTCACAGGAAATATTTGTGAGAAGAGGAAGTATCTGAAAAGGCTGCTCCCAAATGGTCAAATTTGGATGTGCAAATTTGAAGAATTCCCTCATGATAAACTTGTAGATAGCACTACAAGCAGGCTGATCTGGTAGAGAAGGTAGTGGGGAGCATGGCATGTGTATGAAAATGCACAATTATAATTAAATCTAATCACTCTACTAAATTATTGGAGATGTTGGCCTCAGAGTCTGAAAAGATGGTGATGCTGTATGTTATGGTTTCGATGTAAAATATTTCCTGAAAAATAGCTTGTGTTGTTGGACTCTAGTGTCCAAACACCGAGGAGGAGTCACCCCCAGAGACCACCTCATATACCATAGCTGATGCAAAAGCATGAGGATTTTGTTAATTCTGTCATGACAGGGTCCCTTAGCATTCGGGAAGCCGAGGGACCTCGAATAGCGGGTATAGTCTACTTTTAAAGGGGCCACAGAAGCAACAGGGGTTGTTCTTTGACTATTCTGATTGGCTTATTTGAAATGGCTATTACCAATAATTGACTGGAGAGCTGTTGCCAGATCAGATGAGGTAAGAGGTCATTTTGACCCTGTTTCCCAGGGAACTGAATCAAAACATACGTATATGGGTAATTGTTCAGGAACTGAGTACGTGCGAGTGTAGCTGTTAGGTCCTTGGTTCCCAGGGGAGGAGGGGAAGCACTATGGCACAGAGGCTGAGAGGATTCAGAATTGTCAGAAATGGCTTCAGAATTGTCTTACAGTTTTACAGTGTGTTGAAGGCCTTGGTCCCCAGCTGGCAGCAGATGAGAAATGACTGGGTCATGAGGGTACTGACTGACCTCATCAGTGGACAAATCCACTGATGAGTTTGTAGCTGAGTGGTCTAATAGGGGCCTTGCTGGAAGAAGTTTGTCACTGGGGGAATGTGCATTTGAACAGTATATCTATTCCTTGGTCCCTTGCTGGCTGTCTCTCTGCTTCCTGGCTGCCATGATATGAGCAGTTTTGTTCCCTAGTACATTTCTGCCATGACATACTGCCTCATCACAGGCCGAAGAATAACAGAGACAGTTGGCATAGCTTTAAACCCCTGAAGCTGCAAGCGAAAATCAGTGCTTCCTTAGCTGCTCTCCGCGGTGCACCCATGTAACCCCAGTACTTGGGAAACTGAGGAAGAACGACTGCAAATTAGAGATCACCTTATAATCCACAAAAAACTCTTTCTTTCTTTCCTTTGATTTTGTCACAGGAACGAAGTATTAGCTAGTACACTTTAGATAATGGACAGTTTTCTGCTTGTTTTTTTTTTTTTAAACAAAACTGTGTTCTGTGCCATGTGCAGAAGTACACAGCTATAATTCTAGCTACTAAGACTGGGGCAAGAGGATCACTTGAGCTCCAAGAATTCAAAGACATCTTGGACAGCATAGGTAGACATCTTCTCAAATCTACAGACTTTGGATAACTTTATTCTGCTCTCACTTAGACATCTAGTCAATTCCTTAGCTTGCATTTTTACCTGAAAAACATCCCTGTGTGTGTGTGTGTGTGTGTGTGTGTGTGTGTGTGTCTTGGAGAAGTATGCCTTTGTCTTCCAGATCCTTCTTCTCTTTGCCATTATTTTTGTTATTTCTCACAGCAGAATCAATCTGATATAGATGTTCGCTATTGTTTTTTCCTTAGAAAAGTCAGAAAAATATGATGTGCGTGATGTTGAAAGGCTTCAGCAAGATGATAACTGGGTTGAAAGTTACTTGTTTTGGAGACACAATGTTGTGGATGAAACCCTGAAGATGCTTGATGAGAGTTTCCAGTGGAGGAAAGAATTTTCTGTCAATGGTAAGCTGTTGGACTTCACCTTGACAGGGTTACACCATCTATGCAAATGTTACTGTTAGACACTTGTCTGTATTTTCACACATCCCTAGCTATCATTATAAACACTAGAATATTACCCTTAGGGGCCTAATCGTACTTTCAAACGGACAGTGTGTGACAAAATCTTAGAAGGAAAATCATTCATAAGAAAATCAGATCACAGTTATCAAGTCACGCATTGTCACGAAAAGCATGGTTGCCTAATTTGTGTTTGGTTCGATTCCATTAAACAATGGAGAAATAAGAAGATATTGCTGTCCTGTTTTGCTTTCTCAGTTGTTGCTCATGCTTGTGAATGTTGTGTAACCTACTGGGGAGCCCAGAAAAGCAAGCTTATCCCCAAGGGTTCCCTGTGGCAGACTTCTCTAAACTCTTGCACTAAGTCGAAATCTGTCATCAAAGTGTGTGTTCGAAATCTTAGAGGGAATTTTACAGTCGTTTGCAGATGTGGGAAGAATGCTGCCAGAATGCTTACCTATTGTCTCCCTCTAAGACGTTAGCAAGAATAAGTAGACATAATTGGCCATTTCAGCTACTTGTACAGCATTACCTGTCCTAGATGACTGTGGCTCTGGAGTGACTGAGTCTAAAGACTTAATGCAAAGTAGTCAACAGATCTAGAGCTAATTCCCTCCTCCATTCTTTAGATTAGAGTCCACAAGAAAGGGCATACTGAAAATAGAAGTAAAATGGTGGGAAATGTAAACACTCTAGTAAGTTTAAACAAAAAAAAACGTGTATTTGTCAAAAATGGAGCACATAGCTGCAATTTCTAAATCTTTTTAGCTCATTGAGAATGTCATACTAAATGCAACAGTGCATATATTCTTGCACAGGTTGCTAGTTCCTGGTGACATAGAGCAAAGATATAAACTAGGCAGAGGGAATGAGAGAGAAACTTGGAAAGTTCTCTGGGAAGTGCTGGCGACGGAAACGATCATCCGTGCGCTGCCTTGTCACCTTCGTCCTCAGCCTCCCTTAGACACTAGTTAGGTCTGTTGTTTGTTTTTCCTGCTAAAGAAGTTTAGGTTTTTTTCTTGAATTATTTCCCACCTGCTCTAGAACATTAGAGTTCACTGTATGTATATAAAACTTTGTAGAAAAACACCATCTTGGGGGTGGGCAGATAGCACTGTAGGTAAGTTACCTGTTGTACAAGCATGGCTAGGTTGAGATCCCTAGCACTCCCTTCAAAAGCTAGGCATGGCAAGATGCATGTGTAATTGGAGTGCTGGGCATGGAGGGTGGGGCAAAGCCAGTATTCCAGGGGGCTTTGCTGGCCAGCTAGTATAATATAACCACATTGGTTCATCAAGCTCTAAATTCAGTGAGAGACTCTCTCGTGAACTTAAGGTGACAGTGGTAGAGGAACCCAACCCACATTAGTGCCTGGAGGGGGCTAGAGAGGAAGAGAGAAAACACAGAGAAAAGTCGCATCTTGCTAGACTAAATAGTGATATTTGTCCCCTTCAAATTCCAAGGTCATGTGAATATTATTAGTACAATATTACTAATGTATTTTTTATTTGTTTAGGAGGAACCTAGGAATGGAATCTATGACCTTGTGTGTGCTAAGCAAGTACCCTCCTACCACTGGATTACACTCAGACCCACCCCACCCCCGGTGTTAAATCAAATGGTCTCATAGTGTTAACATGTGTTGATAAGTCAAATCATGGCTTGATAGCTGACCAGAATCTGCAGATACCCATCAAAATAAGAGTTTTTTCCTGTTTTTTTTTTTTCCAGCATCTATAAATCTTGTGTCAGTTTTTCTCAGCAGGAAATAGCTTTTGTGTTACCAGCCACTCTTTCTAATTTTTGAATAAGTTGTGTTTTAGTCAAGATTTAAGTAAGTTGTGTCTTGTTCAAGTTTGAGTGATCGTAGAACTACTGTGTACCGTTCCCTTGACAGTGTGAGTTTTCTTTTAGGTACATAGGTTACTGTTACTGATCAGAGTTTACCACTTTCCAGATCTTAGCGAATCCTCTATTCCAAGGTGGTTATTAGAACTTGGTGGTATTTATCTCCATGGTTATGACAAAGAAGGAAACAAATTACGTAAGTATATTCAGTTCATACCCTAGTGTTTTAAGATTTTGAAATGTGTGTCTGTGTCTCAATTAATAATCACAGAACTTTTCTATATATCTATGCAACAAATTTCCTGCAACTAGAGGTGTGTGGCCTTCTTTACCCCTGTCAAATAATATCAAGGCATAGTTTGCATTATCATAAACTAGGCCTACACACAAGTGCTGTTTCTTAGTTACTTATCTAGTTCTGTGATAGCACTGAGAAGACCTCATGACCAAGGCAACTTAATCAAAGTGTTTATTTAAGGCTTATGGTTTCAGAGGGTTAGAGTCCACCATGACCATCATGACGGGGAGGGTGGTAGCAGGCAGGCAGGCAGGCAGGCAGGCACTCGAGCAGTGGTGACATAGCCAGCATCATACCAGTTAGTCATTGTCTTCTTCCTCCTCGTTGGTAGCACTTCACCTAGTATGTATTTTTATGGAGAATCTTTTGATAGTTTCTAAATATGCAAAATGGCCTTTAAGTCTCTCCTGGTCTCCTCTTAGCTTTTTCTGAAATCTGTGTGGCAATGGGAAGAACAGCAGTCATCTGCTGTCCACATGACTTTCTTCTTCTTTCTTCCACTCACCCCAGCCGAGCCCGACGTGGTACTAAGGCTGGGAGAGCCTGCATGTGCATCTTGCTTGCCTTTTCTTCAGCTGTGAGTTGCACTATATTTTGACAGTACAGTGCACTTTCCTCGTATCCCTGCGTCTTCTTTTGCCATTTTCTTTTCTTAGAGCTCTTTCGTGGTTTGCTCCTGAAACGTGTTTCGCAGAGCCTGTTTTGTTCATGGTTTCTTATGCTTTGCAGCTGATACTGTCCCATGGGGTCATCTCAGATACATCAGCTTTTTAGCAGCCTCCCAATTCACAGTGCAGGTCCCGTGCAACTCCCAAGCTACTTGCACATACCCAGCTGCCTGCCACCTGCTGTCCCTTGACTGTGAGCCACCTTCACCATGGCCAACAACTCACCCTCATGTCCTGCCACTCATGTTCCTTCTGGATTGCCAGCTCTGGCCCATTTCTTGGCTCTCCCTGTAATTTAGCTTCATTTTGGTTTCTGTTTTATCTTCACCAGCCACTTCCTCAGTTTAGTCCTGCCTAGCCTGTTCCGTTATTGTCAGTTCCTTCCCAGGTTACGACGAGATAGATTACCTCCCTGGCCTCTTTTCCACTCCAACCTCTATCGCACTGCCAAGCTAGGTTTTGAAATAGGAAAACCAAAATGGAGCTAAAACTTCAGAGTCATCTAGCCGTCCCCTGCTTCTGTTCTGCTTCTCTTCTCCCCGTCCCATTTCACCTGAAGCTTTTGCATGTTCCACTCCCCTGCACGGCACTCCCCCGTCCTCCCTCCTGCCTGTCTGTGTGTCCACTCCCCTGCATGGCACTCCCCAGGCCTCCCTCCTGCCTGTGTGTCTGTTCTGGGTGGAACATGTTTTCTAGCATTTGATCAGACCAGTGGCTTTCCTCTTTAGTAAGCGTAGAGGAGAGCACTTCTGGGTTATTATAAAGTGGTGTTTGGTCACCTGCATTTTCTCTTCACCTCACTTAAAAGTGACGTCTGTTTATCTCGTAAAATAGCCTCTCTGCTACTCTGTAATTTAAAGGTCCCAAGTGTAACTATTTTCCTTGTAAGGAGGCAAGAGATGTATTTTATTCAAAACAAGATGAATTTTAAATGGAGGAACATGCCATGGGAAGGATATATATCCAATAAAATGCTACAGATAATATGCTTATTTTTTTTTATCTGCTGTTTTGCTTGAAGTCTGGATCAGAGTGAAATATCATATAAAAGACCAGAAAACCATAATGGACAAAAAGAAGCTCATAGCGTTCTGGTTGGAACGATATGCCAAGAGAGAAAATGGGAAGCCTATCACGGTGATGTTTGACATGTCAGAAACTGGACTCAATAGCATAGTAAGCATTCTTCATTAATCCTAAATCGTGCCTTGTTCTGGTTTCCTCTGTTTTCCCTGTATTCTTGCCATCCAAATAATGTTGTAATAAAGCTAGCAGAATCCAAAAGGATTATTTTCCCCCTTGCATTCTATGTGAAACCAAATGTGGAATAGGGTTTGCTGAGAATTCAATTTGCTTCAGTATTTGGTATGGGTACTGTGTTTCCTAACAATGGTCCATGTCTGTTGTGAAAGGCGAAGAGGTAAGACATGGAGGCCAGTAGGACATGGGTCATCGTGATGAACACTGAACTTTGTGACCATGCTAATATGCCCCAGCACCAACCACCATGCCTGGCACAGAATAACATAGCCACTAAGTACTGAATACGTGCATGAGCACTGTGATCTTATATTTCTTATATTTCTGCCTTGTCTTAAAGGTACAAGATGTTCATGTGGGTGTCCCTCATGTAACACACTGTGCTTTTGTCGGGCACTTGTGTATACTTCTTGAATGTTTTTATTTGTTCATTTTATTTAGTAATCTTGGGGATTTTACCAGCCTTAAAACTTAGTTAAATCACTAGTTACAATAAGAATACATTATCCTATGTATACCAATGGCTATAGCTACTTGTGAAGCTGAGGTATAAAGATCATTTAAACCTAGGAATTCAAGGATAGCTTGGACAGCACGGTGAGACTGTCTCAAAAAATAATGAGTAGGAAAAAGTCTAGATGGCCAACATGACAAAATGGTAAATTATGTTATACCTAATTGATAAGGTATACGTAACTATATATGTTGGTATTTGTGGAGAACTTTAATAATATTGGTGAATACTTGTTTAAGATCAAAAGAACTATTTTATTTTATTTCAGTATGTGTGTTGGTGTGTAGCCCAAAATAGTGATGTCTTAGATTTAAACAAGAACAGAACCAGAGTAGAGAGAACAAATCAAAAGAGCTTTTGGAGAGGGAAGTGGCAGAATGTTTTCTCACATTAACAATGCAATTCCCTGCAGTTTTAAAAAATGTAATTTCCATTGAGTGGATTATAAGTTATAAAGTAAAACGTTTTATGTTCTAAATGAAACTAAAATTACTTAGATAAGATAACATTCAATAAGGATAGATTATGATTTTATTGTTCTTTAGGTACCAAAGTCGCCTATTTATTACCTCATAACCATGAACAATGTATGGTAATGTTTTATGTTACCCAATATAGTGAATTGACAAGAGCTATCTGATGGTTTCTTAAACCTTGCATAGTGTCATTTCTAATTTGTAAAGAAAGACTATTGGTACTATTGCATATTTCAGTCATTATTAGTGTTATATAGCACCTGAATCTTTATTGGATAATTTCTTTTATATATATATATATATATCACTTTTATGATTCACAAAGTCAGCTGAGAAAGATGCATAAAAATGTGTTAGTAAAAGTTGGACTGCCGTGTTGACAATAGCCTTTGACCTTCCTTGCTAAAAGAATGAAATCACTTAAAATCATACAAATAGCTAGACTTTAAATAATCAGCATTGTAGGAGAAATATAGCCATTCTCAGCAGTTGAACTAGAAAGAAAAATCTTGCATGCATCATCAGAGGATGAACACTTCACATAAGGGCACCATTCTGAAAAGCACCCTGAGAGATTATAAAACAGGCTGTTTCATGGAGCTGTGTTATGTGGTGCCCAGTGTAGACACACACCGCTGACATCAAGTCTCCTAAGATTAGCAGTAACTCAAGCTTTTATGAACAAGGACATTCAACTGAATAAATGATAGCAATGACTACTAAATGAAGACTAACTAGTAAGAGTATCTGAGAGTGGTCATGCTTGCTTTTAAAATAGGTAACCAAAATTTTGTTCAGCTAGTTTTTTAAGCCCTTTCTCTGAGTCTTTATATAGATTTTTGAAACTATGTCCAGTGGATATCATGATTATTTTGAAAGGTATTTATTATATACTAGGGCTTTTCCCATATTAAATAGTTATGGCTGAGGATGCCTACTTTCAGTTTACTGTAATTAAAGGTGCTGCAACTCAGATGCTAGGAATGACTTTGTAGCTTGTCCCATCCAGAATAACCAGCTCTTTAGTAGCTGTCCTGGATTTCAGCTTGTCTGCTTAACTCTTCAAATTAGCAGTGTTTATAAGGTGGCCGAGCAGGATTAATGAAACAGCCTGCTAGCATGGGGGAAATGAAACATGAAAAATATCCCTAATGACCTAATTTCCTGTTGGTGCATATGAAGCAGGAGAACTAACCAGACAGCTGCCTAATACAGTCTCCTAACAATTGGAATGAATGAACAGCACTTGATTATAAACTTAAGAAAAAAAACAACAAAAACAAAAGTAATCTGACTCCTCTTAAAAGTGAACAGGCAGGTCTGATCAGTGGGATCTTGGGTAAAATATTAATACCGTATTCTTGTTGAAACTCTTCTAAGGTAAAAATTAGATTTAGAAAGTAAATACTTAACCATAACGTATATATGTATAGCTACAAATTAATGCATATATATTTTTCCAGTTAATCAGGTTATAAACTCTACCCTTTTTAATAATTCTTTAGTTGTTAACTAGAATTTTAGAGTCTCTGTTCAGATAACTTTTACATACCCTATAGCTCTTGTAGCCTGAAGCATAAAACTAGTGTGAAGTAATACAAATAATTTTTAAAATACCAGTAAGTGTCTAGCTTCTTCAACTCAGTTTCAGAGCCAATCCTTAGCTTAATGATATAAAACCTTAACCCTTGGGTCTATAGATATTTATAATGGCTTATCTTTTAAGAATAATAGTTATCTCATTTGTATTGAATAATTTGTCACCTTTAGAAATGTGTAATTTGAAGTTCTAAAGTCTCAAATCTTTAATCTTTATTTTAGGACATGGACTTTGTACGCTTTATCATCAACTGCTTTAAGGTATATTACCCCAAATACCTCTGTAAGTAACTTACTCCTTTATAAAAATATATCATGTTGAAATTATAGATGATGTCCAAAAATTATGAAGCTTTCTATTGTAGAGTTTCCTACCTCGAACATTGTTTGCTGATGAAGCACTTTAAATGTATTCCTAGGTAGACCTGTAAATCCTTATCATGGTAGACAATTTTTTGAAGTCGTTTTCCTTCACAGTTACTTGTACAAGTGACATTCTAAACACCAAAATATTCCATAGCTTCTAACACACAGCTGTGTGCAGTTGTATATTTATTTGCAACATGAGCCCGTTTTTCTTGATCTTTGTCTAAAATTATATTTATTATATGGCACTTGCTGCTTGCAAAAGCAGGTTAGGAGTACTGGTAAGGTACATTTTACATTAAATAAATGTAGGATGTTACTACTTGCTGTTTTCAAATTGGCACTAGGAAAATACTGAATAAGAATGCACTACATTTGACTCTGGTATTTAGAGCTTCATAGTCTTTTGTTTCCTTCTGGTGCTAGAGATTGGAGCCAGGGCTTTGTACGTGCCAGGCAGTGTTTTACCACTGAACTAACATCCTCCGCCTTGTTTAGTTTGTTTTTAGTGGTAATTCTCCCATTAATGATACAAACGATGGACTCATAAGTCTTATGTGCACATTTTTCATCTGTTGGATTTATGTAATGGCTTTGCCATGGGGAAAATAAGTGGCCAACCAACATAAACAGTCAAATATATTCAACTCCAGTTCAGTAAAATTGAAAGGGCAGGAGAGGCAAAAAGGATATCAAAATGGCAATTTACAAAACTGCCTGCACATATTCCTGAGAGATACCACAATTTGGGTCTCTTGGGTAACCCAATCCATAATGGATGTCTAGAATCAGCACCACCTACAACTCTATACTGCATTCTCTTTAGAGAATGTTTATCAAGAAAATGACTGTGCCCAGGTTGGGAAACTTGAACGATCTATTACTCCTTGTGTATCTGCCACGTATCCTGACTCAGTAAGTTTTGCTGAGCAGTGAGAGTACCAGTGGGTACTCTAGAATTACTACTTCATGATATTAACTTGCTTCTTTTATGGACAAAACAAAACTGAAATGTTTGTTTATTTGGGTATCTAAAGGATGTGGTGAGCCACGCAGAAATAATACTAATATAAGTATTACATTATAAAATATACTCCACCTTCTAAAATACCTGTTGACTGAAATAAATAAAAGCATTTGTGATGAGACACTGAGAAAAAAAATATAACTGTAGTTATTTATCAAATATGTCCAGGAGTATTTTGAAAGGGCTGTTCATGGGTTCATATAAAAGTGAACGGGAATATTTATTGTTCATTTCAGTTAACTATAGATTGTGTCTGTGTTCTACCAAAATAATGTGGTTTTGCAGACATTTGGTTTTATGGGCTCTTAAACCTATAGTTCTTCAAAACCTGCCATGAACCTTAATTATAACCCCGCTGAGTAAGAGAACCACTGAGCGCCAGGCTACCTCTCGCTGATGCCATGTTCTTTCTGTGCACTTTACTTCATGCTACTTTCGTGTCGCCTTCTCTGGGAGTCTCTGCTCAGAGTAGAGGGAAATTACATATTTGGTTCATCTGGAATAGAAGAACAAAGTAGCTATCACAAATCTCCCTTGTGGTTACGGATTTTTTTTTCCCCTCAGAGGTGTTGATGGTGCTACTTAAGAGCCTCAGTTCCGTATGTAAAATAACAGTTCTGTGGACTTCGGAAGTGTTGGCTTCCTGGGCTCACAGCGTTTAAGAAAAAATAGTTTCTGTTTCTTAGAACCAGAAGAAAGGGGCAGCTCTGTGACCAGTTTAAGGGTGCAATCTCCAGGATATTATAAGGGAAGCCATAAATTACGCATGTAAATATTGTTGTTCAAGTGCAGTTGCTTTCAACACTGATCTGACATGCCACACGCATGTCCCCTTAACTGTTCTGTGTACTTTTGTTCAAGCAGTAACATCAGCAAAAGAACAGAGGAATGCTTTGTTTGCCAAAGGACAATGACAGTGCATTCTTGGGACCCCTCCCCATTGTGAGCTGCTGGTCAGTCCCAGCACCACCCATATGTCCTTGAATTAAAACTTGGCCCATCAGCTCAATTTTCCCTCACGTGGGTTTTTTTCTAGATAAGGTCAAACTCTTGGAGTAATGTAAACTTACTAAGTTGAACTGAGTGATTTTTTTTCCGTCTTTCAGCAAAAATTGTGATCTTTGATATGCCTTGGATAATGAATGGTGAGTATATTACTTGTGTTTTCCCACAGCATCTCGGTTTTCTTTTGTCTTACTTGGCCAGTTCAGCCATGTTTATACAGCTGTTTAGGAAAATATGTGTATTATACTTCTGTACTCTTAAGAGGCTACAGCTGGAGTACTGAACGATTGCTTTTAAACAAACAGGGCTGACATTCTCTTCTGAGACACTGAGAGTTTTCCGACTAGTCTTCTCTAAAACCAGCCTCAAGATAATGTGCCATTTAGGCAAAACAATGACAAGAAGCCTTGTTCTGTTTCCCACACATAGGGTATCTAATAAAACATACGTTGGCTAGCTTTTCTCTGGGGCTTTCAAGTGTTGAGGAACAAGGTGGGAGGACTCTGAGTCACTCTAAATCACTGTAGTCACTTAGCCCTTTTTGACAGTCATAATTTTCCTCTGAGCGATTTGAAAGGGAGTTGCTGCTGCTTCCACGTTCTGTTTTCATTGGTATTGCATGCACAGCAAACAGGAGGGTCACGCTACGAACTGAAATTCGGGTCTGTGAAAACTTTTTGACTGGCAAACCTTTTAATACTGGTAAAGAATAAAGAAAACTTCGTAAAATGTGAAATCAAAAACCAGAGGTCACTCCTGAGCTTATGGAATTCAAAAATAATTTTAGCGATGAAATTAGAAAACTAGATGAAAACTGATAAATTATTAGAAAGACATAGACTACTCAAACTGGCTCAAAAATAATCAGAAGAAGTAGCCAACCACCCCCCCCCCAAAAAAAAATCCCACAAAGAAACATTCAGGCCCTGGTGGCTTTTCTGGCAAATTCTATGAAACGGCTAAAGAATTTACCCTGATCCTTTGTAAACAGTTCTAAAAATTGTCCACAAAAGACTGCTTGTAACTCATTTATGAGTAAGTCCAGGCCTGACACTAACATCAGGTGAAAAGAAAACTACAAACTGCAACCCCTTGCACCTAGAGATGCACCAGTCCTCTGAAGGTACTATGGCGAGGGGTGTGGACTAGCCTGTGTGAAGCCCCACCCCTAGTGCTACAGAAGGCCATAGCTAACCAACTGTAGCCAAAGCAATATAAAAAAAAATTATAGGCTACAGAGATGCCTCACTCAGTTGGTAAAGTGCTTGGGAACCGAGTTTAATCCCCCAAGAACCTGTGCAAAGAAGCCAGTCAGTAGTAGTAGCATGTGCCTATAACCTTAGCATTGGGAGTGAGGGGTGAGGGTACCAACAGGCAGAACTCTGGGGCTATACGGCTAGCCAGTCTGATCTAATTCATGAGCTCAGGCTGGGGAGATCCTGTCTCAAAAAAACAATGTAGATAACTCTTGAGGAATGACCCCTAAAATTGTCTTATGGCTCCCAGATTCATGCATATGCTTGTACACACACACACACACACACACACACACACACACACACACAAACACACACCAAAAAGCATTACAAACCATGACAAAACAGGAGTTGTCTTAAGAATGCGAAGTCGGTCCAACTGAAAAAATCAGTGTAATACACCACATTAATAAAATGAAAAATGAAAAAAAAACTTATACCATTTCATAAAACGCTTTAAAAAGTAGGACCAGAAAGTGCTGTTGAAACAGTCGATTTTAAAAGGATCCTAGCAGATCATAGAAGGCTACCTTCCACAAACTCAAGAAGCTCCCCAAATGCCTCGCATGTTCCATCATTCACTATGACTGCTATAACTCACTGAAAGCAAGGATGCTCACTTTTGTGATTTCTTGCAAGGAACGGATTCAGAGAGACGTTCCAGATGTGAAACAGATCTCCCTGTCAGCCTCAGAATGAGCAGCACATGTGTAGTATTGCCAACCAAGGAAATTCTTTGACGCCTTTGTGCCTTGGTGCTCAGAAATTGTCTTAGAACTCCATTATGTGGGCATGATTGAGTTTGCCTGTTGTTAGTCACTTCATGGCTCACTGCCCCTACCTTAAATCACGTGTTGGTTTTCCAAGTCCCAACCTAAATCCAAAATCCTGCTGTTCTCTCTAAGGCCCCTAGACTTAAAAAAGACAATCCTACCAGATAGGAAAGCTACCTCCCAGAAGCTGGGAGCAAAGGGCCAGACCTCTCTTTAGGTAAGGGTAATTTTTAACTGCACAGAACAGAGGGCTTTGGCATTTATGATAACCCACGGCTAGAATCATTTGGGAATTCTTTCAATAAAGCTGGCATAAAAAAAAAACAGAGTTAACACTTCATTTAATTTCAATAGCATGACTGTAATCCTGACAAGTCACAAACTGTTTTAAATTGAAAAGGAAAGTTTAAATAGTAGTTGAACAAAAGCTTAAATCCTAGTGAACCAGAATTAACAAAAACCATGATTTTCTAAAGCACACTTTAATGTTTTTATTATTCCCCCCCTTTTCTACTATCATATTTGCACATGTACTGTAGCATTCTGCTTTCAGCTTTTTCCAAATGGGTTAAATCTCCCAACAGAAATATTTTAAAAACTGAGCATGAAACAAAGGGCATGGCACGGGACAAAAGTGGAACTGTCACCGAGCTGTGCCTGCGTGTAGTTTATTCTCAGCGTCTTGCTCGTGGTTATATAAACGGTGAGGCCTGGGAAAAATGCAGAGTATTGAGTCAGGAAGGAAGCTGGTTCTGGCGCACACCCATAATGAGCAGGGCCTCTTCCTCCTGTTTCTGCCTTTTCCTTTGAAGAGGGTTTTCAAATTGAGGGTTTATCAGAAGAAGCACAAAGTAAAAGGTTCTTCACGATATCATGCAATTCCTTCCTGAACCACCGAGCAGTTTGGTCCATTGTCTCAGAGTCAGAGCTGATGAGAGGCCACACTGATAGATGTGGTCAGAGGTCAAAGCCCTGAAAAGCTGTTCGGTGAGCATCAGGGGAATTGAGTCTTCCTGAATCTCCATGGGACATTTGCAACCTGTGAGGGCTGTGCCTACCGTAAAGCCTCCCCCTGGAATTATGATGGTACGTGTCCTTGCCTCAGAAGAAACACCTTAACAGCTCCTCATTCAAACTGGTTCCAAGAGATGTGGGTTGGGACATAGAATGAAGTGCTTGACGAAGCAGGTAAACTTCTGTGACTTGATTGTTTTTTCCTCAGCTGCTTTCAAAATCGTGAAAAGCTGGCTTGGCCCCGAAGCAGTAAGTTTGTTGAAGTTTACAAGTAAAAATGAAATCCAGGAGTATGTCAGTGTGGAATACCTGCCTCCCCACATGGGTGGGACAGTAAGTACAGTCCTTGACACTTACAGAATACCACTAACCAATAGCCCTCTACAGTATGTACTCATAAGGAAAAGGCTGTACTTTTAAAAATGTTTTTGTTTATTCTTCTCTCCTACAATACATTCCAACCATAGCTATGGGCTGTGTTCTGGTGTCCTCAACACCTCCGGCTCCTATAGTCCTTCCTCCCCTCTTACACAGGGTTCCCCCAAGCCCCTCCTAATGTTTGGTTTGGCTATGGATCTCTTCATCTACTCCCATCAGCTCCCAGAGGAAGCCTCTGATGGCAACTGAGCTAGGCACTGATCTATGAGTGACAGAATATTATTAGAAATCATTTCATTGACTTTTTTCCATTTGTGTTTCAGTCTGTCTGGCCTAGGTCCTTGGGCTATCCAGCCTTCAGTTCCTGGTCATCCTGGCAGTATTGGGCATGGGCTCCCTTTCATGGTGTAGGCCTCAAATTAGACCAGTCATTGGTTGGCCCCTCCCACAAGTCCTGCACCACCATTGTCCCAACACATCTTGCAGGCAGTGCAGGCTATAGGTAGAAGGTTTTGTGGCTGGGTTAGGGTCACAGTCCCACCACTAGAAGTCTTGCCTTGTTTAGGAGGATGGCTGGTTCAGGCTCCAGAGACTCCTTTACTAGGAGTCCTCGATATGGTCGCCAGGGATATAGATTCCAGGGAGTTTCCACTGCACTGTTTCCCATCAGGCCCCAGATGCCCTACAATTCCAGTTGTCTCTCCCCATACTTTCTCCCTCCTCCCCCCCCCCCACCTGATCCCTCCTGTTCATCTGCACCTGCCCCCAGGCTGCCTGTGAAATTTATCCTATTTCCCCTTCCCAGGGAGATCCTTGCCATATCTTAATGCCCAAGGAAGGATTACTGATAGCCCCCCAAAAAGATGCAAAGGTGTAAATACTTTTCACTTATGTTTCAAAGTTCACTAACTTGAATAGCTATATATATATATATATATATATATATGCATCTAAGATGAAGTGCATTTAGGATTCAAAAGTATATTCAGAAACAAGTATTCAGACATGGCTTCTACTCTTGTTTCAACTACCCTATTGCCTTCCATGATTGCATTCCATATCTTAATTTCCAGGGGTGTGTATTGCGCATGTACGCAAGTGTGCATAAGCCTTCCTCCTACTCATCTACTAGGTGGTGTGAGGGGAACCCCACATCAGTAGTGTATTGGTACAGTATTTTATTTATCAGGTTTTTCTTTACAACACAGTGGCGAGATCATTCCAAATGCGTGGGTGGCCAGCTTCTGCCTGTGTGCTACAGTGTTCCAGCATCTAACACGAACCATAAGTTACCCAATTTGCTTTTCATGTGTGTTCTTGTTTTTTTTTCCCCCATCTTTCCTATCCAGTAGTCTTACTAACTTGAAATGTATCCTTTAAAATGTGCTTCCAAAGTTTGGAAGGGGTGTTTGCGTTTTATTGATTGATTTTCCTTTATTGTGAGTGTTAAGAATCAAACCAGGGGCCAGATACACACTAGGCAAATGCACTTGCCCAGCCCTAAGAATAGATTTGAACTGATTTTTATTACTTATTAACAGAGGTCAGGAACAGGTGGGTGTGTTTGAAATTTTTAATGTTGTGACCAGAAGTGGTAGTCTATACCTGTAACCTCAGTACCCAAGGAGGATTGCAAATTCTAAGCCAGCCTGGACTTCATGCTGATTCCCCATCACAAATAATTCTTTTTAATATCTCCATAACTGTGAAAATGAATATGACAGTGACTTTTCCTAAAGTGTGAAACCTATGTAAATAACTGCAAGTATATTTTGCCTGCCTGACCAAATTGTATTTAAGGAGAACCAAGGACTAGCAGGATTAGAATTTCAGTGTTTCCTGTTTGTTTTCATTAATCAAAAGAAACTCAAACCAAATAATTTAATTTGAAGTCTGTACCTTTCTTATTCTGGAACTTTGTAGTTTACATTTTAACCTAGAAAAACTGAATATTTTGCATTTCAGATACTAAGCTTGTAATTAAAGTAAACCATCCTTGCAATTATCCCCTTCTTTGTTTATGTTTTTTTTTTATTTTGAGACTGAATCTCTTCTAGACTCTGAAGTACTCAGATTATAGGCATATAATTATCATATTTAGCTATCATGCCCTACCTCTTCATGTGTTTTGTTCACTTGTGTTTTTTTAAGATACATTCTCTTCTCTCTGTCTCTGCCTCTCTCTCTCTCTCTCTCTCTCTCTCTCTCTCTCTCTCTCTCTCTCTCTCTCTCTGTGTGTGTGTGTGCAGGTACCTATAGAGGCCAAAAGGAACTAAAAAATACCTTGGAACTGTAGTCCCAAGTACAATTCTCTGTGAGCATCCTGATATGGGTGCTGGGATCCGAACTCTGGTCCCTGATAGCACAGGGAGCACTCTTCAGCACTGAACCCACCTCTCCAGCCCTTGTGTTTACTTCTGCTTGCTTTCTGTGTGGTGTATAAGTATGTGTGCATGTGTGTCCATACCTGTACATGTGGAGGCTTGGGCTCAACATTAGCTAACTTCCTCTATTGCTCTCCACCTTAGTTTTTGAGACAGGGTCTCTCACTGCACCTGAAACTTACTGTTTAGCTAGACTCGGTGACCATTAAACCCCTAGGGTCCCCCTGTCTGCCTCCCAGTACTGGAATTACAGGCAAGTATTGCCTCATGTGCCTTTTCACATGGGATCTAAATTCAACTCTTTGTACTTGCTTGGCAGTCACTTAATCCATCTTTAGCCCTCTTTATATTTTTTTTTTATATTTTGTTTTAGTAATATGGTTTTTTTTTAATTTTTTGTTAATTGATTGAGGTTTGTCTAATTCTTAGTGCTAGTCATTGAACCGAAGTTCTCCAACATGCTAGGGAAGTACTCTAACATTGTCACTCGTCCTGCATTATCTGTGTTCTGTGTTGGATAGGAGAATCTGCCTTATTTAGATTTTAGTGGATTTATTTTATTCCTTTTCTGTTTTAATGTATGGTTTAAAAACCACACAAAGATACACACACTACATTTAATGCTTCTAGCCATCTGAACATTTTTTTTTTTTTTTTTTTGCTGTGGAGTAAGCTAAAGAAGTAACTTGATTGATTTTTTTTTTGCATAGCTCATAATTATCTGTTTACTGCCCTTTCCCTTTCTAGTTTGAAATGAATCCCATTTTTTTCCTTCTTTCACTAATTAAGCATATCTTCTTGGCTAAAGTAATCAATTTTTAATATACCATGAGGGAATTATTTCTCTCTACATTACTAGCAGGCTGATAAGGAAAATTCTCTCCTTTAGGATCCTTTCAAGTATAGCTACCCACCACTGGTAGATGATGACTTCCAGACACCTCTGTGTGAGAATGGGCCAATTGCCAGTGAGGACGAAACCTCAAGCAAGGAAGACATAGAAGGGGATGGTAAGGAAACCGTGGAAACAGTTTCTAATGAAGAACAACCAGCTCTGTCAGAAAAGGTAATGTTAGGAATAGAGTCAAACGGAATCCAAAGCTGGCATCTAAAACTTGGGCCATAGCTCGGTGGTAGAGCGCTTGTTCAGCATGCATGATGCCCTGGGTTCGATCCCCAGTGCGAACAGGAGAAGTGCTTTCCTGTCTCCCCAGCTCTGCCTGTGTCTTTGAGATAACCTAATCTTGCTTCCACATTTTTCTGGAGAAAATGAAGGAGGAGGCATGAGGTAAATTAAATTGCAGTATCCTTTTTTTTTCAATCGTGTAAAAAGAGCTGACTTCATGCTCTGTGTAAAACTTGGCAAAGTACATCTGGAAGGAATTTTTTGTCAAAAATATATTTATTTATCTAAGATAAAATAAAACTGATTAATATAAAGCTTCACCTGGGTGAAGTTACTCTATCTCACTTTGAAGGGCTTGATAATTGTCACTCTTTACAAAACTTAGCAAGGGCTTGCTTGATAAGTACATTGTAATTTACAACAAATATCTTCAATAATGTCATGTTTATAAGAGAATCATAATGTTTCTCAGGGTCATGTCAATATATGTTAAACATGTCATTCAGGCATGCTAAACATGTTAAAAACTAATTTGCATTGAGTCTAGATGTTTATTTGTTCTCTCATGACATGTCCAACTAGAACTGAAGCATCGTCATCTTTTCTCCTTTGTTTCTATTTTTGTTTTTTTATCTTTAGACTAGCCCAACTGAATCTGCTTCCAAACCAGAGGAAAATGAAAAAGTTGATTCAAAGATGAAAACTTTTAAAAAGCCATTGAGTGTTTTTAAAGGGCCCTTATTACACATCAGGTAACAAAGATTTTACTCACTGCATTGCTGTAACCTCTCTTGATCGTCTTGGGGGTGAGGAGGACTGCAAGATTAAGAAAGCTTCCTAAGAGTACAGTTTGTTCAGAGGACAATTTGCCTTGTTTTCCAGCCTTAGTGACCACTTCTACCTACCTTTTTATTTTTTCTCCACTGAATATGTGTCAAAGTCCTCATCACACTTAAGATAGTAATATTCAATCTTCATTTACTAATCTTGTTGCATTTGTTTGTATTACTGATACTTGTAGAAATAAGGGGATGTATTTGTCAATTTGACCTTCTGAAAGCCCAGCATGTTCTTGGAAAATAGGGTTTTGATGAAACCCTAATTTCAGACATGTTTATCTCTGTTCTTTGTTATTAATCCACTAATCCAGATTTGGGATTGGGAGCTGAGGGTACAGGTTATTGGTGCAATTGTTTAAAGCCCTGAGTTTGATCCCTAGCACTGAAAAAAGCCCAGGACTATTTCCTGTATTGTTATGTGCAATATTGCTATACCAACACTAGTTAGTGATGACCTAATTATGGCATTTTTGTCCTTTGTCTTAAAACCTTCTTGTGTAACTGTATTTGGAGTTTATTGGAGTACATATTCCATCAACAATATAGCTATAGTTCTAAAAAAATGTAATCTGAAATTCTCTAATTGATAAAACTGGTTTGTTTCCACGTGTCTTGATTCTTGGTGGTGTTGGGTTTGGGTTTATGCCATTGTCTGTGTATGTATGCGAGTAAAGGAGAGACACACAACATAAATTTTGTCTCCCATGGTTTTTCTTTGCCTTTTTTCCCCTTTGGAGTTCGTGTGTTTGCACCTTTTCTTCTACTAGTTTTGAAGTCAACATTTCATACTTCACAGAAGGACCATCCAAAGCATAGATCTAGCCTACAACTCTGAGGTTTACCAATGAAAGCAGCTGAGAAGGCAGGGTAGAATAGGACAGTTTCCAGGGCTACACTTTGAACATGACCCCACTCCCTGTGGCCCTGAGTCGCAGAGCTGCTCCTTCACATACACAAGGATGCCACCAGTGTCATCTCCCTAAGCTGCTTCTGATTTCTATAGTGTTTACTGAGACACGCTCTAGCATCTATACCATCCCTGTGTTTTCATGTCTCCTACAGGAATTAAGCAATCCTGTATGTTTGTTGTCTTGCCCAAAGGTGGGCAAGTTCATTCTTAACCACAGGTCTTCTCTAGACTAATGAATATCCTTGGTGTGAAGACATTTCTTGTGTAACAGAGCAGATAGAAACATAGCTCCATCTGGGCTTACCAAAAGCAGGCCTTCAATTCCAGGAGTTTTAAGAGACAAGAGGCTTGCTGGGTGGTGGTGGCACATGCGTTTAATCCCAGCACTCAGGAGGTAGAGGCAGGAGGATCTCTGTGAGTTCAAGGCAAGCCTGGTCTACAAGAGCTAGTTCCAGGACAGGCTCCAAAGCTACAGAGAAACCCTGTCTCAAAAAAGAGACAAGAGGCTCACACTTGGAGCCTAACCTGGGCTACCTAAAGAGTCTCAAAACTTTAAAATACATACACACAGGCACACATACTCACACACTTAGGGTTATTTTAAAAAAATCACTTAAGCTATTCAGTTTTCAATTTAAAGAAAAAACCCTACTCCAAATGTCCTTTCTGTAATTTTGAGGCACCTGATACAGTTTGGCTAAAGTTAAACTATACAATTTTTCTGGAGAATTGAATCTTTTCATTTTAGGTTATAGATATTACAGTAGCAGTAATAGCATTCTTGGAAGCTTGAGGCTTCCTAGTTTTACCAGTTTAAGTGCCCTCCGGTTGCTACTCCAAATTACTCAGAATAGCCATTGTGTAGTAAGCAATTATTCTGTTACATAAATATATCCCTAATAATGATTCTGCGAGATTATGTCCTTGTTGGTCTAAAAAGGCTGCTCAAATCTAATGTGTTTGTAGTTAGGGAGAGCTGAAGCAGTACTGAGGTCTGGCCTTTTTCTTTTATTATAATCCACAACCTCCCAGAGAGCTTACACAGATCCACCTCAGATTGTGTTGATTATAGGATTACTTCAGTGCCTTCAGAATTCTCTCTTCTCTTCCTGCCTGTTTTCCTTCTGACCTTAGGGAAAACCACAGTGTTTCCTAGCATGCATAGCATCAGGAAGTTTAAAGTACAAAATGATATTAGGTAACTGGTTTTGTAGTCCTCTTGTATAAGGAAGTCTCTTCATGCAAATGAGCATAAACTATCAGCCAAACAGTTTTTCCAGACTAAGGATTATAATGCTATTTAGTCTGAGTACTACAAATGCCGTATTTGTTTATCCACCTAGCCCTGCCGAAGAATTATATTTTGGAAGCATGGAATCTGGAGAGAAGAAAACTCTAATAGTGTTGACAAACGTCACGAAAAATATAGTGGCCTTTAAGGTAAAATAAAAAAACAAACAAACAAACAATTTAAAGCCATAATAAATTATGAGGGTGAGATAATGGCAAATGATTTGGGGCATATACTTAATGGGAAGAGTAGAAGTCAGACAATAAACAACTGTGTGTCACTTACCAAGCTGGTGCCCTGTTTTTATTTCTAGTACTGTGAACCCTGTTCTATTCCCTTCTAGTAAGGCTTATAGTGAGCATAGTCTCCTACACTTCGTATTTGCTGATCCACGAGGGTCCAATAGAAACTACACTCCAGGTTCTATGCAATGTGAGGGCAAAGACACTTTCAATTTGACTGTTTTATCCTTCCGTGTTGGAAAGCAGATGTTTCATCTAATGAAGGTTTCCTGGGGGCTGCACATACATGTGCACATATATGTTTACATACAAGAGGAAAGCTAGGGCCAGGTGTGGGGGTGCATGCCTTTAATCCCAGATCATGAGAGGCAGAGGTAGGTGGATCTCTATGAGTGTACGGCTAGCCTAGCCAACATAGCCAGCTTCAGGCCAGTAATGGCTACAAAGTAACACGCTGTTTCAGAGAGAGAGAGAGAGAGAGAGAGAGGGGGGGGGGGCAAGGCCAAGTGTCAGTAGGATTTTAAAGTAGGTTTTAAATAACCCGGGATGTTTTTATCTTATCGGGGAAGACAAATAGCATTGTCCATGCAACAACCAAGGTGGATGCATAGACTTCACTCATTGTCTATTAGCTGCTCTTTTGTTTGTTTTGAGACCGGGTTTCTCTGTGTAACAGTTCTGGCTGTCCTGGAACTAGCTCTTGTAAACCAAGCTGGCCTCGAACTCACAGAGATCCGCCTGTCTATACTCCCGAGTGCAGCTGCTCTTTTTTCAAGTCATTCTTAAACGATTTCTCTAAAGCAGCGTGAGGTTATGTGCTGTTTCTGAACAGGTGCGCACTACTGCCCCAGAGAAGTACAGAGTCAAGCCAAGCAACAGCAGCTGCGACCCTGGAGCTTCCGTTGATATCATCGTTTCTCCGCATGGAGGTGAGCTGCCTTGCCTTCTTTTTCTCTGCATGCATTCTTAATGCCTCATGTTCAGAAGTAGTTGGCCAATATATAATGGACTCCACAGGACTTTCTGTATGCTTTTATTTGGCTGCAGTTTGGTCGGTTTTTGGTTGGTTGCTTGTTTGTTTTGGGTGGTGTTTTATTTTGTTTTCTTAGGTGGAGGGTTATTGTTGTTATTGGATTTTCCTTTGTTTTTTTAAGAAAGAACTTATAGTTGGATGCGTATGAAGGTACATTTGTACCGAAATCTCGGTGGAGACCTCCAATTGCCGTGCACCGCGCCCCCGTGTCTGCGCTCTGTGCACGGGCACCCAGTTCCCGAGCTTCGGGCAAGGGGCTGGAGGTTAAAATACACAGACACACACAGTGACAACGACACGGGTCATCCTTGAATTCCCCAAGAATGCCCCCTTTATTGTGTTCAGGGGCAGATTATATAGAGATAGCCATGCCCCAGCCGAACCCACCAGAAACCACTCTCCTGCCATCAGGAACTCCTGAAGGTCTCGTGCTCAGAGCAGCTGTAGGCACTCAGATCAGGGAATTACAAGAAATTCAGGATCTGGGGTCTCACTGCTCCCAACACGTATGGAGGATCTGTAAGGACTGAGGGTGGGGAAGAATATGATCAAAATATATTTAAGTTTACCTTTTTTAAATAATAAAATTATTAATAAGAATGATCATAATGCCTTAAACCATATATCTAGCCCCCTGACCGTTGGTGTTCATATGTTACACTACTCTTGTGGAATGCAGGCTTGAGAGTCTCTGCCCAAGACCGGTTTCTGATAATGGCTGCTGAAATGGAGCAGTCCTCTGGCACTGGGCCAGCAGAATTGACCCAGTTCTGGAAAGAAGTTCCAAGAAGCAAAGTGATGGAGCACAGGTAAGCGCTTTTTTCTCACAGCCTTTCAAATGTGACGAGGACTCAAAATCAGAAATTCCTTCCTGGGGTGGAGGGCACTGTCCTTTCCTTACAGATGTCAGAGTCTTGGAGTACCTGGACTGAAAGAGGGATGCGGCCCAGACTGGCCAGTTGACAGGTGCGCATCTCTAACCCTCAAGTCCACCGTATCAGAAAGTTGCTGTGTAGACTGTGGGCAGCATTGTCTGAAGCAGTGAAAAGTCAAAGGGAAAGGCAAGACGTGGAGGGCCACGGGGAAATCCTAGTTGAGATGCATTGGCGCATGCCCGTGCTGGTGTACTCTGGAACCACTCCGAAGATTCAGTCACTCTGTTCCCACATGAAGTATCACAGTAGATAAATGATTGGAAAAGCTGCCCAAAGAGACATAGATACAGTATCCTATTTAAAATAGAGTGCACAGTTGTACACTTGTGTGACAGCCATATGCCCCTGTATGTCATCTGTGACAAATGTCTTTAAATATATATGGGAAAGTAAAGGAAGCAAGAAAAGACTGCTTTCTACTTTGCTTTGCTTTATTCCTTTTTAAAATAAAGTTATAATTTATTTAAGTGACATCAGTTTTTACCCCCCCCCCCCATGCACCTAAGGACATTTGCCCACACCCAGAGACATCTTTATTTTTCACAACTCAGGGGTGGAGTACAGTGGACATCTAGCAAATGCTCCTAAGCCTCCTACAATGCATTTGATGGACACTATTCCCCCAAAATCATGAGCCCCCCACAACCAGTAGCACTGAGCTAGGAAACCCTGGTTTATGAAGTGGTTGAGGATAGTCTCTCTGCTGACACATTGACTCAGACATGAAGGAAATGAAAGAGGAAGTAACATCGTTACTCACTGTAACTGCACAAAAAGCTTTGTGGTGGCAGGCAAAGCAAGTTTCAAGAAAAAGAAATGTGCTTGGCTTACATGAAAAACAGCAAGGAGGTCTATTTGCCTTAACTGGGGGGGGGGGAGGTGTACCCAAGAGACAGCTAGCAGAGCCCTAGATCATTGCTTATGAGGAGTATTGAATCGGGCCCAGCCTAGAGGCGTATTCCATGATCAAAGGATAGCTCTTATCAGCTCATTAAAACTCGCGGAAGAAAGTGTGTTGCAGAGAAATAAGCAGCAGTACTAAGTACTGTCATGCGGATAAAGAAAGATGAGGTATTGATGCTGCCCACTGATGGTCACATTATTAAAGGTACTGATGACCTTCAAGAGCACTTTTAGGATGGCAGGAACCACAGAACCAGAGCCCGAGCTGAAGAGATGGATGGGGACAACTGGGCTAGACTAGAGGTGTGGGAGATTACAGAGCAACTATAAAGTTGATGAAGGGATCTTTGGCTTCTTCTGTTGTAGGTTTTTGTTTTTGTTTGGGGTAGTGGTTTGTTTTTGTATTGTATAGGGGATGCATGTTGGCTTAGGGAGTTGTTTGTTTGTTTAGACAGGGTGTCATTGTATAGCCAAGCATTAGCCTCAAACTTGTAACAATTCTCCTGGCTTGACCTTGCAAGTGCTCTCTGCTATGCCCAGCCTGCCTTGAGGTTTTAACCATGAGAAATTTAAGCACTGTTTACATCAACAGGCTGGAAGAGATAATCTCAGTACTACAGGACTTACCTCACACGTTCCATCCTTTATATAGCCAAACAAACAAACACAAAAATGAGGGACGTGGCAATAGAAACCTATAATCCCAAGACAGAGTACTTGCAGGTTGCAGCAGGAAGATCAAAAGTTTGAGGCTAACATGAACTACATAGGGAAACCATGTTACAAAGAAGGGGGAAAAAAAAAGCAAACAAAAACCACTGGAGAAGTTGATATAGGGCCGACTGTGCAAAAGTACCACCTGCTTTTCACAAAATAATACTTACATTTTCAAATTATATCATAGGAACAAACACTGCCTTCTGTCAAGCTTTGTTTGTTTTGGTTTAGTTTGGTTTGTTCTGCTCATGAAACAGGGCTTTGCTTTGTACTCCCGGGGTGACCTGGGCCTCAAGAGCTTTTTGTTTTTGTTTAAAAGCATGGGAAATTTTTGAAAGGTTAAGAAGGAGTGACACAAAAGAATTCGAGATTAATTCAGAGTGCTTATAAAACACTCAAAATGAAGGGGTTTGTTAAATATAAGTTGCTTTACAGTCTTTGCTTTGGCTTTTACCAGTTCCTAATGGCTACCTTCTCGGGAGCTCTCTTGAGAGAATCTCTGTTCCCACCTAGAAGGTGGGAGGGATCCTAGTGGTTTGCTGCTAAAAACTCAAGTAAAGCACCATCCTCCCTTCTAGACACTGAAAGATAAGTAGGGTAAATTCTACTCAACCACATAGAAAAAAAGCTTTCTATTGCATCCCGTGGGGCAGTGGGCAGTGTACACAGTCTCTTGTTCTTTATACACATTTGGTAGCTAAAGGAGACTGAGGGTTAAGCTCCATGGTTTAGAAGCAAGCACAAAGCCCCAGCTTTCATTTTCCCTGGAGAAGAAAAGACCTTGGAAGATAATAGACAAGTATAGACTGAGCTGCTTGTTGAATTGTGCTTACGGAGAGGTGTGAAACCTTGTACCTCTGGTACACAAGCACTTGCATTTAACCCTGCATTCCCTATTCTACTTTCAGAAAAAAAAAATGTTTGCTAAAACTTTGAAGAAGTTATGTTGCCTTTGCATTTCCTAGGTTACGATGCCATACTGTTGAGAGCAGCAAACCGAACACTCTCACACTGAAGGACAGTGCTTCTAACATGTCAGATAAAACCAGTGAAGATCTATATCTGCAAGTAAGTGTGCTTTCTCCTTGCCTAAACAAATCACCAGTGGTAATCAGCACCAGAAGGCTGTCTGTGCTCCCCTAATGGAAGGGAGTCTTTTAGCAGAGACACAGTGAAAGTTTGCTGTTTGCTCTCTAGCCCTCTCTTTTCTTCCTCGTTTTGGTTTTGTTTCTCTTGTGGGGTTTAGGGTTTGTTTGTTGTTTGTTGGGGTTTCAGTGTTTTTGCTGTTGGAGACAAAGACTCACCTTGAACCCAGTCTGGCCTGAAACTTATAATCCTCTTGCCTCAGCCTTCCAAGTGCTAGAGCTCCAGGTGTGAGCCACCACTCCTGGCTTGGAAGCGCCCTCTTCTCCGCCTAAGAGGCTAGTTAGAAATGGGAAGCCACGGGCTGCATTCAGACGGCCACAAGCATTTAAAGACTCTGGTAATTTTACTATGGAATCGGGGCCAAGTAGTAAAGCACATGGTGCTTTGGTGAAGTACAAAAGAGTTCCATCTTGTCACCAACTAGTGTATTTCAATCGGAAAGAAACAAAGGGGCTTCTCGTCTATAACCCAGTGGTGGAATTCTTACTTGCCATGGCAGTGCTGTAGGTGTGATGCCCACATGAAAGAGAAACCAAAGAGATATAAATAGTTCAAAGGTATCTGAACCTCCAGGAAGTGATTCCTCTGTTCCTGTTTCAACTAGAAAATAGGACTTTTCAGAGTAGAGCAAGAAGGACATATATGTCCACCAGACTTTACATTGGATGCCTTCTTGTATTTTTAGCCCCCAGCTTTTCAGAGTAGATGGGCCCCATCCCTTCAGTGTTTGGCATGCTCCTGATTAATGATTGTTTCGTTGATGTCAATCTTTCGTCCCTTTTTTTTTTCTTCCCATTCAGCTCAATCGTTTACTAGAAAGCAATAGGAAACTTGAAGACCAACTCCAGCGCTCTCTCTGGTTCCAGCAGCTGCTGCTTGCCTTAACAGTGGTCTTGCTTGCTTTTGTTGTTTCTTTCTTTTATTCGTTATACAGTTAAAGAAGTGGTGCCTGGTCAGAAACGTAACTCCTTTAGACATTGTCTGGAGAAGGTATACAGACGGCACTCAAACTTCTCCACCCACCTTCTAGGACTACTGTACATCTGGGCTTCCTAAAAGGAAATATGTAGCACATAGCAGGGTGCCTGGCTTGAAACTAAGTTGTTTGGATAGAGCAATGTTCAAGGCATTGATTATTAGAGACTGTAGCTAGTTAGGAAACTAAGTAAAGGCATATGCAGTGTATAAATCAATCGCTTAAACATAATTTATTTTTTCTTTTTCATTTGAATGCGTTCAAAGCAAAGTTTTTCATGTAAATGCACAAGCTGGGCTGAAAAGTCTATGTAACATGCTTTGGTGTCGCCAAAAGATGTAATCTGCTTTTTTTTTTTAAATACAGAATTACTAGCTGAGCTGACTTACTAGCTTTTCTATACTACGTATGTAAAATATGTATATTGAAAAGGAGACCTACTTAAGCAGAGTAATTTATGTAACCATGACTTTGTAACTTTGAGAACTACTTCCAGATGATAGTCAATATTCTTTTTGGAATGTAAAGCTATTTAATGCCAAACCACTTTAGCCTTTGTTTCTCAGCGTCGCTGAGCAGCCTGCCTCTTATTAATCTGGGCTCTTCACTGATCACTTTGGTTTTGACACAATATGGAAAGCTACATGTGGTTGAATTTTCATAGATTTCTGGTAGTCGTGCCCAGAAGGAAAGTCTCCAAAACAGCCCCCTTTCTCGTCATTTCTATGCAGTTCAATGCCATTCACTGTGTTTGAACAGTGAACCTTTGCCTGGTTTAGTATAAGGGCCTACTCTTCCATTGTCCCATCTTTACCTTCATTCCAGGGCAAAGGAGTCTCCTCTGTGGACCACAAATTATGCCTTGTTCACCCTCACTTTTCCATGAGAGAAAGGCATTAGGTAACGTTGTTGAAACTCTGCTTATTTTAGCTGATCATTAGTCTGACTAACCTTAGGTTCAAAATGATCCTTGTTAAAATTGGTGGTGAGAAGGAAACGCTGAAAAGACCGGAGTATCCGTGTGTGCAATTATAAAAAGAGGCTCAGAGAATGGGAGCCACCACTCCCAATGGGCTCTCTGGACCACTTTGATACTCTGCCTTCGGTACATTCATCTGACTCCTAAATCCCTAACGAGATACACCTTGCAGAAGCAGAGGCTGATGCAATTGGTTTGTGTTGTCATTAGCATGACCAGCTTCAGTTGCTTTAGGTTCAAATGTACATCTGTTTTGATGAAAGAAAAGTAGTCTGCCTAGCAAATGAATGTTTAGCCATGTTTGGAGATTTAGGATTCTCAGGAGGAGAGTTGCGGGCTCTCAACTTGAAGAAATTGATTCCAACACTGAATTTGGAGGAGTGATGGAACAGAGCCCCTGACAAAGTCAGCTGAGGAAATAAAACCTTAAAAGGACACTAGTGTGATACTCTGTCTTAACTTGGGTTTTTCTGTTTCAGTTTGCCACCTCCAGATGTGGAACAGACTGCAGTCCACACTAAGTCCTGTGCACAGTGTCTATGCCCCTGTATGTCCACAGAGACTTCCCACTGTGCTGGGAATCTTCCCAAGTGGTAGATTCGGGGCCTTAATACTCTCATTCCAAAGTATTTGTCTGTGCTTTTCATTCCTCATAAAGAAATGAGGAATCAATTAGCCAAGAGGAGGAATATAATTGTCCTAACAGTGTCCCTTTCATGTTGACCCACTAAACACCCTCCCTTGCTTAATGTCTGGTCAGTTGAATTTAGTAACATACCTTGTTGGCATTCATTGTAGTGTAACATACATGAATGTAACATATATACATTGTTACATCCCTCCTCAAAACTGTGTGGTAAATGTGACTAAACAGAACTGCGGAAAATTAACCATAATGTGGAAGGCATCTAAACTTTTCTGCCAATCTTGATTAGTCTATATATTTGCATTTTATTGGTTCTGTCTTTGTTTAATTGAATCATATTTGCATGATTATTTTTGGTATTCTGATCAATACTTTTATCTTTAATCATGCCATTGCTTTCTTGTGATCAAATTGCCAGAGATTTTCATTTTGATTTTTGTTTTCACTTGGGAATGGAAATTAATACATTTTCCATGAAAACATTAATAAAAGATCATTAGCTTGATCTGTAAGCCGCCTAAAATGCAATTGCTGGTAAGCCTAGTCTCAAATTTCATAAAACCATAACTTTTTATATCTTGCCACTAATTTTGACTGGATTTAATAGCACTTTATTGTATAATTATAAAAAATATATTCCTAGAATTGTTGCCAGTGTAATTTCTCTAATGTTCTGGTGCTTTTCATATATTTTCAGTATTTTTATTACTATATTGGTATTTTCTTTGTATGAATTGATCAAAAGAACATGTTTTCTATTTTAATATGTTTTAGAAAATAATTACATTTATGAAATAAATATCATCAGGAAAAACTTTTGTCTCTAATTGAGAAATCATTGTCTTAAAAAGAAAATCAGTGTTCAGACCAGACCATCTCTGCCCTTTTAAAGATCATCAGAATTTCATTTGGATCACCTTTGCATTTTTATAAGGACCCTACTTTGGGCTTCCAAAGGTGACTGCCATGTCAAGAACCCCTGTCCTTGAGTGTGTCCAGTTTCTCCTTGTCCCTGTGTCTAGTTAAGGCTGCACAGCAGTGCAGTTTTTGACATTAAACTCAAGGCTTTGGCTTGAGACTCTGGAACCACCGAAGTCTGGACGACCCCATGTACCCTCTTGCGTCCTGGTAGCCACATACCTTTGTACTTGACGGGTGATTGCCACAAGGAGAGCTCAAGCTGGTGACAGAAGCTAATACTTTCTGTCCCCTCACTATTCGAAGACATAACTTTTCCAGAAAGCAGCCCCCCTCCATAAAAATCAAATGAATAACTGATCCTCCTCCATTGAGATGCAGAGATATAGAATCAGTTTAGGAAAAGGGCCCATGTGATAAAAGAAAGAGAGACTTGCAAAGACAGAACATAACCTGCAGATTAAGTACCAACCCGGGACTGGGTGATCCTTCCTAAAGGAAGATTTTCTTGGCAGCACGTTTCTCGGGGGAATTCTCTGCCTAGGGAAGGGTCGATGACAGCAAGCTGCTCTTTGTCCCTGCAGTTTTCACCACCCACTGGAGGGTTCCTGACCTCACTGGTAGCATGGGCCCTCCCAACACACAGGGTGTTTCCTTCCTCCAGAACCCAAAGGAACTGGCTGGAATTTTTCCCACTTGTTCCATCTGAGACAGTGGTTAGGCAGACTGCCCATGTCCTGGTCACCTCCCTTCATATCTGGGGCAAGGTAAACCATGTGTACTTTCTCCCTTTGGAGTGATTGTAGCTTAGATATGATAGGGGTGAGAGTGAGGAAATAATGTATTTAATCTGTCTACTGAGGCTGGCCTCCCTCTGCCTTCTTAGAACTGTTATAGGTGAATATCCTGAACACTGCACCTTACTGAGAGCCAAGTATCAGTTCTTCAAATTTCCCTGCTTGGTATTCCTACCTCTGCCCTGGCACCCCAATATAATCACCAATCAGATCTTTTCCACTTGCCTACTGATGGTTTCCTTCTTTGAATAAACAGTATTGGCTTTTAGCATCCAAAATCTCATACCTTCCCTACCCCACTCACGTTTCCTAATCTTTTGTGCATGTTAAAACATTTGAAGATAACCAGGACTAGGAACTTAGCTCACTCAGAAAAAATGCTAGCCTTTTAGATAAAACAACCAGAGTTTGATCCCCAAAGCACACATTTAAAAAAAAAAGGAGGAAGAGGAAGGAAGGAAGGAAGGGAGGGAGGGAGGGAGGGAGGGAGGGAGGGAGGGAGGGAGAGAGAGAGAGAAAGAAAGAAAGAAAGAAAGAAAGAAAGAAAGAAAGAAAGAAAGAAAGAAAGAAAGAAAGAAAGAAAGAGAAAGAAAAAGAAAATAGCCAGGCATATTATCATACACTCATAATTCAAACACTAGGGAAGCAGAGAGGAGAATATCACTGCTCACTGGCCACCCAGTCTACCTATGCAGCAAGCTTCACATTTAATAAGAGACACTTTTTCAAAAAAAAAAAGGTGGCTAATACGTAAGGAAAGACACCTGAGATTGTAGTCTGAATCCAATACACATACACCACACCAAAATTTTCAAGATAGTTGGTTTAATTGACCAGACCGTTGTCTGTAAACAGAATACACACACTCTAGAGCAAGTTTGGTCCTTGAAACAAGTTTTCCATGCTCCTTTCTCCTAACAGCCTGCCTCAGTGTATCTTGGTTTTTATGGTCTTGGGTTTTATGGACAAGGAAAATGAGGAACCTAGAAGTCATTCTTTTTCCCCAAGATTGCATACTCTACAACTTCAGAGCTAAGTTGAGCCACCTTCCCCCTGGTAAAGTCTGTTAAAACCACCCAGAGGTAGCTCTATACTGGGTTGCCCAGGCATGGTGGAGGGGCCACTCTCCTGAGTGCTTCAGCACATGAAGGGCAGGCCTAGCTCCTGCTCATCTGACCTCAAGGCCAGCTCTCCCAAGGCCGGCCTCAAGCATTGATGGGTGTGTGTGGGGGGAGTCTCTGACTTGATAAATGAATCAGTATCTACCCCATCTGGGCTGTGCTGGAGCACATCAAGGAACAGGCCATGCTGATCCAAAGCTGCAGGATCTCCACAACACGGCAACAGCAGGATAACCAAGAGTTCTAGTGAGGGCCCAGCATTGATAGTGTAGCAGAAACCAGAGGCCTTGAACTGGACCAATGACTCTCGGCAATGAACAATTGCAAGATCTATGGACACAGCGGTTCATGGCATGACTCATGGTATCACACTACAGCTTCTGTGACGAGATTGTTTTTTTTTTTTCCTTTTTTCTCTTAAATTTTGCGGGGGGTAGATATGCAAGGACAGGAAATGAATGGAATTGAGATGCATTATGTGAAAGACAAAAAGAATAAATAAAAGAAGTTAAAAAAAAAACAGAGCTGTTGCATCTGAGAAACTGGTTAAAATGTAGAATGGGGAGATCCAACCCTGCTTTACATTCACTAAATGGGATGAAAAGAAAAATAAAATGAACAGAAAAGGCTCAAAGAAAACCAGGTGATAGAAAAAATGAATAACTGGTTTCTTGGGACTGGAGAGATGGCTCGGTGGGTAAGGGCACTTGCAGAGTTCAGATCCTAGCCCCCAGGTTAAAAAGCAGGGTGTGGTCATACCTGTAATTGCAGAGCTGGGAGAGACACAGAGACAGGAGGATTTCTTTGGGCTTGCTGGCCATCAGCCTAGCTCCATGTTCACCGAGTTAACGTTATTTCAGTGGAATGTTCATATGTGTGCATACACCCCCACACACACACTGAGATTTTTAGTTTTCTAAGTGACAGATGGACTATTTGGGATCCCTCAGTTCTTATCTTTTTGAATGTAGTCAAGAGCCATAGACAATTTCAGCATATATTTAGCAAATCTCAGCAAAGCTAAGCAAAGTAAATACTCCCAAGAGAGGTTGGAGTGGGCTGCCCCAGAGCAGGGAGCAGCCCAGTAGGTTCTGCAGCATGAATTTTAAAAGGTTTCATATGAATATTTTTATGGTTTTTTTTTTTTTGAGACAGGGTTTCTCTGTAGCTTTGGAGCCTATCCTAGAACTAGCTCTTGTAGACCAGGCTGGCCTCAAACTCACAGAGATCTTCCTGCCTCTGCCTCCTGAGTGCTGGGATTACAGGTATATGCCACTATCGCCTGGCTCATATGAATATTTTTTAAGTGGGTGGCATACTCCGGGAGTATGCCTTTTTCCTTCCTGTTATGATAGATGGAAGCCCCTTTGGGGGATATTTCTTATTATGATATTCTAGAAAAGTCCACAAAAATGGGGGAGGGTCAAAACAAGTGATATCTTATTGATGTCCAACTTTTTGAGAGTGCGGGCCCTTTATTAGTGCACAGGTGTGGGAGAGTGCCCAGGTGCTTTAGCTTGACTTGTTGGTGGCAGAGGGCCTTACTGGTAGCTCCCCAGAGCTACTCCTTTGGAAACTTCATTAAGCCTAAGCCTGCAAAGTGTCTGCCATACAGCATACCTTAATTAGAAGAGTGATAGAAAGTCACATTCTCAAGCCCCACCCCCACCGGCAAGTAGACGGTTCATAGAAGGCTGTGTTGGGTGGGACCTATCTGAAAGTTCTCCCAACTCAGGACCCCAGGAATCAGGGTCAGAGCTCAACCTTGTGGTCTGCTGGTGGAGGGCTTTCGAGATGTTCCTCACTTCCAAGAACATCCATGAGAGCTTCTGGGCTAGGCACCAAGTGCCAGGCTCTGGAGAGTTTCTCTCTAGCCTAGTCACAGCTTTAGTCTCTCATGACGAAATTCTTCAGAGAAAGCACGTGGCCCCACCTTGAACATCAATCCCATTGCAAAGGCACTAAAAAAAGATTCTGACAGTGAGTTCATTGGCTAGGACAAAGGGTATTTCCAGGAATTGTGTACTCTTCTAAATGAAGCTCTAGTAAGACCCGCTCGCTTTTAAAACATGTCTCTTGCGTAAGCTTCGGAATCATCCATTTACTTCAGTGGGTTTATTCACGTTCATTTTCTTACACATAAGGATTCTCTATGAAAATGTTAAAACTATAAAGGGGAAAATAGGAAGAATGAAAAGGAGAGCACGTACCTTCTTTTCCCCGTGACCTGCATGCAGTTTCTAACATTTAAGCTGTCCAATTTGTTTTGAACCAAGTTTACCTTACAAGCTCTTTTTTCTTTGCCAGCAGACTCTTTCTGCATTTTCAAGTCGTTCTCAAGCTGCGCATGCATGATGAAAATCTCACTGATTTCCTGATTCATATCAGAATTTGATATGTAGAAATTGCTGACTGTGAGAAACTTCCCAAACTTTTGATATCATGCCTGCTCCCTTTCCTTGCTGGAGCTGGGATTATAACAAATTAAGAAATCATTTGTCTTTCCCTAATGTAATAGTCACCTGTCACTTTTATGAACCAGACGCTCTTATGCTTCCATACAGATTCATTGAGTAAAACTTACTTGCAGTCCAATTTGTACTGAAATGTAATGAAATGCAGATGTGGTAGAGGAACATGAATCAGAAGCCAAACTAAAAAGTGCTCTCAACTAAATGTCAAAACAAAAGTGATTTCACTATCACAACCCCGTGACTCCAACTATTTCCTTCTGGTAGTGGAGACTAAAGGAGGTTATTATTATAAGACAGGAAAAGTAGTCTGACAAAGTCCAGAAAATGGACCTTTCTAATGTGACTTGAACTGATAGGTGGTAAAAAGAGGAAGTTGAAAGAAAACTCTGTGAGTTCGAGGCCAGCCTGGTCTACAAGAGCTAGTTCCAGGACAGACCCCAAAGCTACAGAGAAACTCTGTCTTGAAAAAAAAAAGCGAATTGATATAAAAAGCAAATCTTCTTTA